AGTGTGCATTATCCTGCTGAAAGGCCACTGTCAGCAGGGGATAACATTGCCATATAGGGGTGGACAGGCAATCTCTAGGTAAGTGAAATGTGTCAAAGTAACATCCACACGAATGCCAGGATTGATTGTCCTTCCTTGCACCACTTAGTAGGTTCCAACTACATAATACAAGGAACACCATACAGACTTGCCATCATTTTTTGACCCCTGTCAACATCACTCAGATTTTCTCTTGTACATTTTCCTGCTTCCTACACATGAAATTCAAGAGCCAACTGTTTAGTTGCTGCCCAATATATCCCGCCCCTTGACATGTGCCATTGTAACAGTGTTATTTACTTCAACAGTCAGTGGTTTTAATGTTGTGGCTGATCAGTGCACGTTAAATACTTGCAGTCTGATCCAAGTAATTGTAAGGCACTACAGAATAGATAGTCACTGAATAAAATAAATAAGTCGATGGAAGCAGTAACACAAGAAGTCTTGCCCACAATGTTGTCAACATTAAAAAGTATACTATAGTCACCAAAACAACTTTAGCTTAAAAAGGGAGTCTCCAATGCCAGGAAAACAAACCCATTATCCTGGCACTAGAGAATCCTGGAGTGCCCCCCTCCCGCCCCCATGCCATGTTGCTAAAGGAGTTAAAACCCCCTTCAACTCCTTACCCAAAATCCAGCACCGATGTCCCTTGGGACTGGTTCAGGCTCCGCCCACACTCCTCCCCCTCCGACATCAACTGGCGAGAGAGACCTAATGTGCATTAGACCTCCCCATAGGAAAGCATTATTCAATGCTTTCCTATGGGGAAAATCTGACGCTGGAGGTCCGTGAGGATGTCCAGTGGTCTGTTTGGATTCCAGAAGACCTCTAGTGGCGGTCTGTTAGACTGTTTGACATTGCAGCACTAAGTGCACATGGGTCACAGCACCCAGACCACTTCAATTAGCTGAAGTGGTCTGGGTGCCTGGAGTGTCCCTTTAATTAAGCATTTTTGGTGTATAGTTCATGCTTCTGGAGTTTCACTGCTCATCTCTCGGCCTTTTAGGAGTTAAGTAACATTTTATGCAGCCACACCTCCCTGCATGTGAATTACACAGCCTTCCTAAACACTTCCTGTAAATAAAGATCTAATGGTTAAACTTCCTTTATTGCACATTCAGTTTAGAATTTCACATCTTTTACTCTGATCATAGCCTTCTAGACCTTGCAGGAACAGTATGTTATTAAAGTTCAATATGCAGAACAGAAGATTAACATACACCCAAAGTAAGTTAACGTCCATTTTTAAAATAGAACCATTTTTCATGAAAGCTGTGTGAGTGACATCTTTGAGGTGGCTAGGGCTTCATGGCACAGACAAAAGTGATTTAACTCCTAAACAGCAGAGAATTGAACAGTGAGACTGCAAGGGGTATGATCTAGGTATGAAGTTGGTTTGATTTCTATAGTATTTCTTTAAGATAAAGACTGATTTAAACCTGATCGACATCACCTGGTGCATTGAGGTTTGAAAATACTAAACATCTTGTGCTGAGCTATGTCACAAACAAAATCACATTCCTTTGCAACAGCTGTAAGTCTCTAACCAGGTCCTATTAAATGGCAAATATAACACTATACAACAACATTTGTAGATTTATACTGAAGGCTTATTTTAAAACAAGCCGTAGGTAGTTACTCATGCATCAGTTTAATAAAATAATATTCATATGTATTTTAATAGTTTACCTAAGTTATGTTCTTAAAAAGGTACAGGCTATGACAGCTTTTAGTTTGTTCTTTTCTTAAACTTAAGGCATATACACACACACACACAAAAAAATTAAAAATAAAATAACTTACTGCAGCCTGATCTGCCTACTATGAAGTCATGCTTCATGACTTTCATCAAATCCAGTGCTTCTCATAAAATGTGAGCGGTGTAGACATTTGCAAGTGGACATTGAGGAATATCGCCCACAGTGTATTAAATCCATGTTCAGCATCATCATGCAGTGAGTGATAACGTGGAAACAGTCACTGAATGGGCAGTGGCTCTAGAGACATGCTGACAGCCACTAGAGGTGTCTCAGCCAATATAAAAAAAAAGTGTATCAATGTTTTACACAGAATCTATGCACCAAATCCACTACATAAGTGGTATGTGTCTTGTCCCTTTAAAAAACAACAATACACACATTGAGAGCCCTTCAGCTTGCTTATGTACCTTAGAGGTGTTTGCATAGGGTCATTTTATATAAAAATGAATGCAAAGTCTGCATTTTCATTAAATACCTTTGTATAGTCTCATGCCTCATTCTAACGATTATTCACAGCAAAAGTGAATGCTTCTCAAAGAGAAGCAGATTGGCCAGGTGCAGAAATCACTGCACATGGGCCATAGACCCCCAATCCTACTCTAGGAAAGGCATCTGACTGGACCATAAATCATCAATAGAGAGCTCATCGGTGGCTCAGATTGCAGAAAGGAGACTAACACACAAAAAGTGAGGAGAATTTACTTTTTAAACATGGGAGGTCTCATCATCTAATATTATGAAGGAACACTAGCATTACAAACTGTACCCATATCCAGCAGCATTACAAAATAAAAAAAAAAAAGGGGAGTATAGAGTAGAATTCCCGGCTATAGTATGTTTGTAAATGTCAGGTATAAACACTATGCAGAATTCCGCAAAGCTATTCAGATTCACATACAGAGGGCTATCGGTATACACAGTTATAATGTAAGCACTCTTACCCACTATGGCAATGCTATTGGGAACTCTGCTGTACAGTACTGCAGCATATAGTGCTAGAATATCATTAATATGGATGCATGGATTCCTAATCTGACAAGGATTTTTTTTTTTGTCACACACACACACACACACACATTTCTACTAAAGCAAGAAATAAAACATGCACAGCACTTTGAAATCCCCACATACATTTTTGGTAAAGCTATACAACATGCAGATTGCAGAGCTGCCCAGACATAGTATTGCTGCTGGCCCATTGGATGGATGCAGATTGATACAATGCAGGGATTGCCTACATAGAATATAGGCTGAGGTCTGGCTATAAAATGCCATCTCCATTCAATATAACGGCACACAATGAATGGCCACGCACAGCCAGCCAACATGTAGCATTGTGTACCTGCCCCAGTGCTCAGTGTTCAGCCAGAAACCAGCCTCCTGTCAGCCCATCCATGGCAAGGAAGAAGTTGGTCCCCTGTAGAGCACAGCAGCCCTTCCACACGATCCTCTCTATCCACTTTATATCACACTCTGTCCCCCGCCTCCCACCAAGAGTCTCTTTATATTGCTCGCGGTGCAGCCGGGTCTTGTAGTCCGTTGCCGGCGTCTCAAACGTCAGTGGGGGAGGAGAGCGGAGGTCCCATGGACTACTACTCCCTGCATGCAATTCGGCGGCGTGCACCCGGCAGTTAGTTGCGCTGAGGGGAGAAAGAGGGAGAGAGATGGATCCCGTTACTCGAAGGATGCGATAACTTTTTCTGGATTACTGATTGGGTCGAACGTCGTGACGTTTTTGTTAAACTTATTTCATGAAGTGAAAAATGCAACTGTGATGCTCTCACATGTAATGGGAGATACTTTAAGGAGAAGGCACTCTTATCTGTACAATATGCTGTGTACAAGTTCTAAACAACATGTATGAGGCGTTCTAAACTTTTATAGGGAATGCTAAAGATGTACAGGGAGTTCTAAACTTTTATGGAGAGTTCTAAAGATGTACAGGGAGTTCTAAACTTTTATGGAGAGTTCTAAAGATGTACAGGGAGTTCTAAAGATGTACAGGGAGTTCTAAAGATGTACAGGGAGTTCTAAAGATGTACAGGGAGTTCTAAACATGTACAGGGAGTTTTAAACATGTACAGGGAGTTTTAAACTTTTATGGAGAGTTCTAAACATGTACAGGGAGTTTTGAACATGTACAGGGAGTTCTAAACTTTTATGGAGAGTTCTAAACATGTATGGGGAGTGCACATGTTCTCTGTAACTTTAGTTTAATGCCACTGTTCTTTGGTTTGTGAACAAAATTGGTGTCCCAGACTTTTGATGAGTGCTGTAAAACAACCACCCTAAGGATTACTGCTGTATGGGAGGGTGATCTTGGGAAACCTTTTCGAATAAACAATGCAACACTATCGGAGTTAGTTACTAAAGTGCAAAGTTAAAGGACCATTATAGGCACCGAGACCACTTCAGCTCAATGAAGTGGTCTGGGTGCCAGGTCCATCTAGGGTTAACCCTGCAGCTGTAAAAATAGCAGTTTCACTAGGGTTAATCCAGCCTCTAGTGGCTGCCTCACGGACAGCCGCTAGAGGCACTTCTCACTGTGATTTTCACAGTGAGACAACGTCCATAGGAAAGCATGGACTGACTGAATGCGCTCGCAGCTCTTGCCGTGCATGTGCATTCGGCGGATGACGTCGGAAGAGGGAGGAGAGTCCCCAGCGCCGAGGGAGCCCGGCGCTGGAGAAAGGTAAGTGTTTAACCCCTTCAGCCCGGTGGGAGGGGGACCCAAAGACCCTATAGAGCCAGGAAAACAAGTTTGTTTTCCTGGCACTATAGTGGTCCTTTAAGGTCAAAATAAGCTAACTGAAAATATTTCTCTAAGACCGCAATGCTTTCAGTTCAGCTGTCTGGCTTTTATTTTGAAATTCACTTTGGATTCTCACTTTCATAAACACACCCTTAGGTTTCTTGTAGCTCACCTGTCTTCTTCAGACTGGAAGTTCCAAGAGGTAAACTATAAGCTTTGGACTAGGTGGTAAAGAATCCCAGTGGCAGTTCACAAGTTTGCCCTTTGTGTTTCTCCTACGCCCTTTGTGTTTCTCCTACTTGTTAGCATTGTCTGTGGAGGCTTGGTACAGTTTTGCATATTCTGATATGTGTACAGACAGCAACATTTTGGAAATCTGTCCAGATTGAAATGGCCAAGATTTTAGCAGAGGTCGCTTCTCTAACTCCTTAAAGAGATATTGTAGGCATCAACAAGGCATGCCGGGTTCATATTTTTACCACATTTAGCATCTCAGATGTAGTGCCTGGCCAAAATTAGGGCCATATCATTCTAACACATATGCATTCCCAGATGATAGGATGTCCAGCAGTGCTGCAGATGAGGTTGTATAAGAATGGGCGTCTTAGATGTAAATTTGTCCTTTATGACCGGTTACAAAGCCTGGCAGGAGACCTGACTGATGTAGGAAAATTGTGTTACGTACAGTGACTTAAAATGTCTGTATTTTATTTATTCAAACTGAAAATTTTATTGTATTTACAAACATAAGAGAAAATAAGCAATACAAAGGAAAATAAAAAAGGAATACTAGGTTGACCATGATATTTTATGAAATAAATTGACATCAGAATACATAGGTTGGGGGCGGAGACTGGCCCCGAGACGGGATGGACACCATTTCTGAGAGCTCCTTCCTGGCAATCCAAATCTGCCGAAAATTTTACACAAAAAGACCCCATCCAACCCTGAACGTAGCGGGTACGGATCAGGGACACCCGGCAGCATCAAAAGATGCCTTTTCAATACACCCCAAGGCAGACCAAGCCGAAAAAAAGCTAAAACAGAATAATAGGGGTCACTAATGCCTCGTTTCTACTGAGCGGATCGACTTGGGTCGATTCGGTATGGTACGCTAGTTTGAGTGTTTCCATTATGAAAGTGGCCCATACAACCTAACCAAACCGCACCATTCATGGTCCCCCTTCAGATGTAGGGCCATAGGAAATGGTACGGTTCGGGTGGAGCTACTGGCGTCACACGATACATTCCACTGATTGGCGGACAGAAAAAACGACACTGCTCACGTCAAATGCAAGCGTGAAACAAACACCACGTCGCCGTTCAGTCCAGATAATAGGAGAAGGATGGCTGCAAACAACAGCAAGGTATGGTCGGCTCAGGAACTATCCACTTTCCTAACTATAATTAGCGATAGCGTTATTCAGAGTGAGCTTGAAAATCACAGTGAGAAGACGCCAGCGTCCATAGGAAAGCATTATGAATGCTTTCCTATGAGACAGGCTGAATGCGCGCGCGCGCAGCTCCTGCCGCGCATGTGCATTCAGCTGAGGAGGAGGAGAGCGCCCTGCCCGGCGCTGGAAAAAAGGTAAGATTTAACCCTTTCCTCGCCATCCAGCCCGGCGGGAGTGTGACCCTGAGGGTGGGGGTACCCTCAGGGCACTATAGTGCCAGGAAAACAAGTGTGTTTTCCTGGCACTATAGTGGTCCTTTAAGGATGCCAACAGTCGAAGTACTTGGAAGTGGTACAATGCCATGGATACCATTTACGGTCATAGGCCGGCAAACCAAGGTAGGGAGGGAGGTCTGGACTCTGCATCTGCACTTCTCGAATCCATGATTGAACTCGTTGCTAAGTGGGTTTTTTATTTCCCTACTTGGCATTGGCTTTTGCTCTGCTAACCATTTATAAATTCACTGCACAAAACCATTAACTATTTGCATAAAAAAAACATTTTATTTGTACAGTGGACTGAACTAGTGCATTTTCAGATACAGTTGATGGACTCTCCAATGATACCTCAACCTTTTCTTATGTTTCTGACGATGGTCCATCAACGTTGTTCAGCAGCACCAGTACGATGACAACAACACCGACCCAACCACAGAGTATGCCCAATGCACCCCGGCACACTGGTAAGACATGATGTTCAGAGTGAAAGTTGTAATTGTGCATTTCCCTAACTTTTAATTCACAGCAAACTGTGAACTCACTCAAAATGCTTCTGTGTAGTTTGTTTGCATAATTAAATCCATATTTATAATTGTATATTGTCTGTATATACTGGTATTTAAATTACATTGGGTTTTGAGCTTATCTTGTATGTATATTGTGTTTATTTTAATTTGTGCTTATACTGTTCTTATCTGTTACATCTGTTCTTTGTTTACATTATGTTAGATAATATATCAGCCATTTTTTGTACCAGTTGCTAAAAAAAAAACACTATTCTGGTCTTTTGGATATTCCAGGTGAAAGGAGACGGTTGCAGCTGGATTTGCGCACAGTCATGGAGGATATGCGGGCAGCAGAGGAAAGGATGAAGAACCTTTCTGAGAGGCGGTTTTAGGCACTGCGTCAGGATGCCCAGGAAGCTATGCGCCAGGAGGCAGAAATCGTCCGGAGCAGATGGAGCAGTTGGCTACCTTCAACTAAGCCTTCCTTGGGCAGCTAGTTTAAGTGCTGAGAGGCAGTCGTGATCCCAGGTCACCGCCCAGGCAGTAGAGCCTTTCAGCCAGCACAGGACCTGTACACTTTTTTTGGGGGGGGCGGGGGGGTTGTGTAAAAAAGGTTTATTTGTAAATATATTTTTTTACTTTGTACTTTTAAATATATTTTGAAATATCACTTTTTTTGCTGAATAAAAAAACAGGAGAGACTTTACGTGTGTCTGATTAAATGTAAACTTTAATAAAATGTTAATACAATCAGGGTAAGAAATTAAATGTTGAGGTGCCGCATCAGAGCCTGACGTATTTCATTGCACTCTTCTTCGCTATCCTGTGTAATTACCTGTCCTGGCTCTTCTGCAGACGTATTTCAATCCTGGTGGAAGTCTTCTCCATGTCTTTCACAAAGATTGTGAAGAGCACAGCAAGTAAGCACCATGGATTTGACAAGTGCAATGTCACTGTCATTCCTCTTCATAAGACAATGCCACCTACCCTTAAGTCTTCCGAATGCATTTTCAACTACGACCTGTGCCCTGGATGTTTTCTTGTTGTAGGTTTGTTGTTCTGGTGTCAGGCGGCCATTGTCAGGAAATGGTTTCAGGAGCCAATTTTGTAAAGGGTAGGCAGAGTACCCGAGCACATAATAGCCAACAATTACCGCCCCACCCCTCCCCCCAATGTTCTTAGTGCAAACAGGATACAGGCCTCCCTGGCCAACCCAATCCCAAAATGTGGACAGTCGTAGAACCCGAGCATCATGCAAACTCCCAGGCTTTCCTACATTCACACTCCAGACTAGTCCTTTTCCATCCACTACTCCTTGGAGGATGATGGAATGACAGCCTTTTCTGTTGAAGTAGTCAGTGTGGTATTCTTGTGGTGCTATTATTGGTATGTGTGACCCATCAATATCACCAACACACTGTGGAAGGCCCCACCTGTTCTCAAAGTAGTCAGCCATGTCTTTAAGCTTTTGCCAGTCTGGAAAATGAATAATTTCAGGAGCTAGCAATGTGCATACAGCCTTACAGAAGTCCTGCACACACCGGCACACTGATGATTTACTGACACCAAAAAGATGACCTATACTTCTGTATTCACGGTTGGTAGCCAGCTTCCACAGTGCAATGGCAACTCTTTTCCTCACAGGCAAACAGGCTCTGAAGTTGGTGGTTTGCTTCTCCATCGCTGGATGTCGCTTTGCACAAAGGTATAAAGATGTTTCCTCCGACATTTGGAAATTGTGCACCAACTGTGTGTGTGTGTGAATCCAGGGACGGTCACATCCCACCACTCACTGGTGCGGCAGAGAGCCCAAATTACTGGTCAGCGTCACTGCTTTGACAAAAGGAGAAGGATTTTAAAAATAAAAAAAACACATTACCATATCACAAATAATAGAACATAAAAATACAACATAATATACTTTACACGGACAGATAGCATCATGTATAAAAGCGAGCAACATAAATAGCATATGGAGTATTTATGTATAAGGTGTAATTGAATTTTGCATATGTGTGCAACATGTATGTTGTTAAATACATAATGTATATCCTTCCAATCTTATATTAGATTTTTTACATATTCTATTTTATTTTTAATACGTGTAGAACTATATGACAAATGGCATAAAGTTGCTTACCCTATAGCGCTGCCATCTTTGTCTTTGCCACACAAAGGTGTACTTCTCCTCGCGGTTCAAGACCCAAGCCATACGTTTTCTGCTGTGTTTCTCTTCGCCGCTCGCAACCTTCTCTCATAAAGTGCAGCATGTATTTTAATTTCAAAGAACCAAAAGCCAAATAGAGTAAAGACGAGCTGCTGGATGACCTCCATTTTTGTTATTTGTAGCGTCACGGTTGTCGCACTAGTGTGACGCCACACTAGACATTTGGCGTAAACCACTCAAGCCTCGATGTGTTCCAACTTGCAGTGGAAACGCTCGCCTGAATAGGCCGGACCGTTCAAAACCTTTCCAAACTGACCCGAGCCGATCTGCTCAGTGGAAACGAGGCATAGGTTCCTGAGTGCGACTGGACCTAAGGTCATGAGTGTGACTGGACCAGGGCTTTTTACAGGGAGAGAAGACAACCAGTTTCTCTCCCCGGCGGCAGTGCAAGTTACTGAGAGTGGGGACAGCTGGTCCCACTCCCCAGCCACAGGAGTTATGACCTAGAAAGGAGAATAGCACCCTTCATACCCAGCGATAACTTGGTCTATATGGAGTGGAGTGCAGCAGTTTTCTTCCCAAGCAGGATTCTGAATTTACAAACGGAAGCTTGTGGGAGGAGGCCCTCTTTACAGCTGACCCTTTTGGGAAGGGTCACCAGACTAACACAGACCCACACAGATTGGAGGTCTGGGGTCTGGTTAGTCTCCCGAGAAGGGGGAAGATATGTGACAAATGCTGCTTTCCACAGATATTTGCTACGGACTCCTGGAGGAGTGTGGAAGCTGGCCTCCTGCCCACCAACTATGGGCCAGGTCAGCACAGTGGCGGATCCAGAGCCTGATCTCGGAAGGGGCACTTGTACATTATTTAAAGAAATAATCCAGGCACAATAACCACTACAGCTCAGTGTAGTAGTTATGGTGCCATTAGTGCCAGGATCACATCCCAGAGTATGTAGACAACTTACCTGGGGTCTGCTGGGATATAGGGCATAGGAGCAGTGGTATATGTGAGGGGTGAAGTGTGTGTGAAAGGTGCAGTGAGTGTGTGTGAGTGGTGAAGTGTGTGTGTGAGTGCGTGAGGGCGGCAGTGTGCGTGATGGTTGCAGTGTGTGTGTGGGGCAGTGTGTGAGAGAGCTGCAGTGTGTGAGCGGTGCAGTGTGTATGTGAGGGAGCAGTGTGAGGCTTGCAGTGTATGTGTGTTTGGGGCTGTGTGTGTATGGGGGGCACTGTGTGTGTGTGGGGGCAGTGTGTGTAGGGGGACACTATATGTTTGGGGTAGTGTTTGTATGGGGGGCAATGTATGTGTGTGTGGGGCACTGTATGTATATGTGGGGCAGTGTGTGTATGGGGGGGGTCGTGTGTGTGTGGGGCAATGTGTCTATGGGTGTGCAGTGTGTGAATGGGTGGCAGTGTTTGTGGGGAAGTGTGTCTATGTGTGGGGTAGTGTTTATGGGGGGGAGGGTAGGGAGGCTTTTTAATAAAATTTTATTTAATAAAATAAATACATTTATGTCCCACCTTCCTTCTTACCTTTACTGAGGAAGGAGGGGGGACATTTCTCCATCCCTGGTTGTCCGTGGGGAATCCCTGGTGGTCCAAGTGGTTAGAGTGAACTCTACCCCGCAGCTCCAGGGCTAGAGTTCACTCTCGCGTGATCCGGAGTGTTGCCATGCTCGCAAGAGAAGGACCCGGAGAAGCTGCAGACTGAGCTCCCTGGTCCTCTCTGCCTCCCTCCGCTGCTGGCTGCCAGCAATGAGCCTGTGGACCGGGGAGGTAGATCTCTGATGTTTTGCAATTAAACAATTATATAATATTATTGATTGGTTGAGATCCTATTGGCTGTATTGCCCTGCTTTTCCTGATATCCTGGGTATTTGAGATTGTGATTGGAGAGATAATTAGGTTTTTATTATGTAATGATTATGTCACTAATTAATTGTAATTTGATTACATGTTTTCTCACTAATTTGATTACATGTTTTCTCACTAATATTGTTTGTGTGATATGTGCCTTATCAGCTTGAAAAGGCCCTAAGGGGTCGAAACGTTGCTGTTTGGTTCCTTGTTCCAATAAAGATTGCCTATATTTTGGAATTCGTTGGAGTGCCTGGATTATTTTCTATATTCAACTGCTACAATTGGTCCTTTTTTGGTACTGGGACTTATCCACCTGAGCACCTTGAATTCCAGACGAAGGATTGAGTGCACTTCCATCACCTATATAAGCCCTGCATTAGCCGTCAGGAAAGAATCTCGGGGGGTGGGGGGGGGCAATTGCCCTGTTGCCCCCCCACCCTGGATCCACCACTGGGTTAGCGACTTGTGAAAAAGGTTAATAAAAACAACTGAAGGCACACGACTCCACTGGGAGGTCCAACTGTTCGGTAGATGGTTCGGTATATGAACAATATAGCTCCAGTCTGTTCGGGGAACCCAAATTGTTTAACCAGATAAGTCTTTGACATGAATAGAACAGTCTATAATACAAATAGGTGGTTGGTTCCGCCACACAGCTCCCCCGTAACCACAAGCTGGCATACATAGTTTGATCCCAACGGATCGGCTTGGGGATGTACTCACAGATCACTTTTCTACTGGCGAATATCCTTTGAAATCACTGGCCAGTAAAAGTTTTGTGTCAGTCGGTATTTAGTCCAGCTGACTCTTTAGTGTCCGGATAGCGGGATAGCATGTGCTATCTGGAGTAACTCCTGTCTATACTTCTGGGGAACTACTGTTTCATGGTCATCGGTACGGACCCAGCCACTATCCTCTCTGAGTTCCTATAGAGTAATCCCTTGTCCCAGCAGTATCCCACCCCCTCCAATCCTGCCTGACTGGAGGTGACCCGATCTTTAAACACCTGTAACGTGGGGTCTAAGGCTACCTCCTTTTAAACTCTAGTGGGGCATCCCAGGGCATGTTCTCTATGGGTGGGGGTTGGTTGCTTACCTGAGCCTCAGAGTGTTATTGATGGTCCGCGGTGTGAGCCTGCTGCTGAGTGGTCATGGTAAGGTTCCTGGGGTAAAGGTTGGGGCACAGATGCAGATGTTAGTTTGCCCAAGTCGTTTCCTAGCAGCACATCTGCAGGTAGATCCTGCATTAACCCAACTTCCACAACTCCCGACCCCACACCTTAATTCAAATGAACCTTGGCAGTGGGTAAGCGAAGTACTGCTCGCCCTGCTATCCATACTGCCGCGGATCCTCCGGTACGGGCTGTGTCTGCAACCAATTGGTGCTTTTTTAGGGTTAGTGGCACCTGTGTCTGAGTCCTTGAACATTTTTCCCCTCCAGACATACCATTTGCCTGTGGTGTTGTCGGTTGTCAGACGTAATGTGGATAGGTTCGACTTCGTGCAAGACACCCAGTTGTTCCTCAGTGTAGCTAGGGACTGCATCGTGGGTACCAGTCTCGGTTTGATAGCAATGGGCTGCTGCTCTGTTTACAGGTGGTTGACCTGGACGACCCCATGCATTGTGGTTCCGGTTCTGGGGGTATTCCCTCTGTACGTGTTCCAACTGTTGACATAAATGGCACCTAATGTTGGAACGAGGTTGGAACTTAGGTGCTGAGGGGTTAAACCCATTGCCATGCAGCTGTGGGGTGGTGCAGGTGGTGCTGGTGTAGATACCACTAGTCTGGAGAATAAGACTAGGCGCCAAGCGTCGTAGTGTTCATTTGCTAGCTGCGCGGTGCCTGTGAGGGTAAGGGGATTACGGTCCCTTACCCATTCCTGTACCTCTGGTACTAGTCCATTGAAGTACTGTTCCAAGAGGATAAGTTGTAGCAGTTCCTCCATGGTTGTGGCTTGGTTAGCCTGGACCCATCCCATGGCGGCTCTTTGAATCTGTAAGCCCACTCTGCGTGCAAATCTTTTTCTTGCTTTATGAGCTCTCGGGACCGGCATCAGTATGCCTCTGGGGTGATGGCATATCGTGCTAATATAGCTTGTATCACCCGGTTGTAGTTCTTGCTATCCTCATCAAGTACTGCCCTATATGCCTCAGCTGCATGGCTGGACAGTTTACCTGCCAACAGGGGTACCCAGTCTGCATGTCGTGTAAGTGGCACAACCTCTCAAAGTCCTGAAGAAATACCGGATGCGCCCACCGCACATGCGAGGCAATGTGTCACCCAGCTCTGCTGGTGTGTCTCATGGCGTCTGCGCCATTCTGTCCACATAGTCCTCCCATGGTTGCCACACTTTTGAGAAGGCCCCTATGGTATTCCGAATCCGCGCTGTCAATTTGTCCATTAGGCAGTTGTCTTTTATGTTATGGATTACTCTGTGTATAGAGGGGGCGTCCGGGCTGAGCCATTGTTGGGTCAGCGCCCTTCTGGCCGCTAAGGTAATTTTATTAACTAGTTTCTGTTCTCTTGCCGTCAAGTCATCTTGTGGTTTAGCTAGCAAGTAAGTCCAAGGGTCTTTGTGTATTAGTCGTGCTAGTATCGTCGTCATCAGCTTCTCTATGTCCGACCAGTATCTGGCCACTTTGGGACACGTCCACCACATGTGGACGTATGATCCCCGCTCTCCGCAGCCCCTCCAGCATGTGTCCTTGGTGGTTTTCCCCATTTTTTTTTTTTTTTTTGTTTAATATCATTTTTATTGTGTTTTCAAGAAGTAAGATCAATGCAAGGGGTACAGAAGAGACAAGGGGTTTGACAAAAATATAACATAGTGGGGATTCCGTTGAGTTATACATAATGATTAAATCAGATCTTTTCGTATACGTAGTCCTGTCTTATGTTGACGAATTATAATGGTGGGAAGGGGTCTGGGAGGGTGAGGCTGGGAGAGGTGAAGTGGGTGGAGGGACGGTGGTTGGGGGACGGGGTATCCTGTCGCTGCCTGCCTGTATAGAGGTTTAGAGTTTTCCAGCTATTTGTTGTAAGGGGTTTCCGATTTCTGTATGTGACTGATTTAAGTGCTCTCGCTACGGCTGGTCATGGGCGTGATTCCTGCGGGAGGGGACTCCCAATAGGTGAGCCAGGGTTCCCAGGTTTTGAGGTATTTAGCTCTCTTGCCCTGTGTTGTCCAGTGGATCTCCTCTAGTTCTCTAGTCCTTTCTACCCGTTGGACCCATTGTTCTCTAGAGGGTGTTTGTGTTTGTCGCCAGAGCATGGGTATCAGAGCATTGGCCTCTCCTATGAGAATGTTCATAAGTTGCTGTTTATACGGGTCTATCAGGGCCCGTGGCCACCCTAGTAATACTTGGGAGGGAGATATGTGTGCCCTCATGGATAGGAGTTTCTTAATGTCTGTGAGTATCGTGTTCCAGAATGGGGCTATGTTCTTGCAACCCCACCAGATGTGTTCCATGTTACCCTCTGCTGCCTCGCACCTCCAGCACTGGTTGCTAACTGTGGGCCAGTAGGTGTGGAGTAGGGCTGGTGTTCTATACCATCTGGTGACTCTTTTGTAAAATGTTTCCTTGCGGGCTATGCTCAGTGGGGCTTTCATCCCTGAGTTCATGATGTGTGCCCAGTCGCAAGTTGTCATGTGTATGTGGAGTTTCCTCATCCATTTTCGTTGGTATGGGGGTCTGGGTGTATCTCCAGTGTCCATTTGGAGGAGACGGTAGATGGCCGACAGGGGCCGTTTTGTTTTACTGCCCTGGGAGCATAGGGATTCGAATGGCGTCTTTTCCCTTTTTCTCCATAACGGGAGGACCGATTGGGTCAAGAAATGGGTTAACTGGGCTCTGGCCATATTATCTAGTAGTGTTCCTCTGCTTCCTGGTTTTGGGAAGGTCTTTATTTTAGGTGGGTCGTCTACTGATAGGACTGCCGTTACCTCTGGACAAGCCTCCCCAGTGACTCGAGTTAGAGTAGTGCTTCCATGTCCGTTTTGGAAGTCTGGGTTGTTAGCCAGAGGGTAAAATGGGGACAAACCGGGGGATAGTCCCCAGTCCTCTCTATGTCTCCTCCATGTCCGGAGTGTGTTGTGGATGAGGGGGTGGTGTGTTGGGGAGAGTTTTGTGAGTTGGCATGTCTGCCAAGGGAGCGTATGGAGAGGTACTGTCGCAAAGCTCTGTTCAAGTTTGTACCAGGCTTTTGGTGTTTCAACCTTGTTCCATTCCCTGACTCGCGTGAGTAGGACTGCTACGTAATATTTGTATAGATGGGGCAAGCCCAACCCCCCCCTCCCCGGTGGAGATGTTATTGTTGAGTATGCCAACCTCGCAGGCTTGTTTCCCCATGTGAATTTTATGATGATGGATCTCATGCGTCGGAAGAATTCTCCCGGGAGAGGGATCGGCAGGGTCTGAAACAGGTATAATACTTTCGGTAGGGTCATCATTTTTATGTTGACCCGACCTATTAATGAATATTGGGGTGAGTCCCATTTTTTGAGGTCTCGGGCTATAGCGTCTATGAGGGTCGGGAAGTTCTGTGCGTACAGGTCCTTGAGTGACGGAGTTAGACGAATTCCTAGATATGTCAGACTTTTCCAAGCCCAGGCGAAGTTGTGGGATTCCCTAATCTGGGTCTGTGAGGCCGATGGTATGGAGATTCCTAGTATCTCGCATTTTTCTGTGTTGATTTTGAAATTTGGCAGTGTGCCAAATTTCTTTATTTCTGTTTGTACTTGGGTCAGTATGTGGAGCGGGTCCGTGACGGAGAAGAGCACGTCGTCTGCGAATGCAGAGACCTTCACCTATCCCCCTGGATAGCAATATCCCTTAATTTGGGGATTGTTTCTGACTGCTGTCAGAAATGGCTCTATCGCCAAGACGAACAGGAGAGGGGAAAGTGGGCATCCCTGGCGGGTGCCGTTTCCTATTCGGAAGGGTGTGGAGTGTTGTCCATTTACCCTTATCGTGGCTGTAGGTCCTATGTATAGTGTATATATCCAGTTTCTTAATTTGGGGCCTAGTCCTAGATTCTTCAATACTCCAAATAGATACTTCCAGTCAACCCTGTTGAAAGCTTTTTCAGCGTCTATGCCTAGTAGTATTGTAGGGGTGTTATTAGTGTTGGCTCCATGTATGATACTTATTATTCTAGAGGTGTTGTCCCTGGCCTCCCGTCCTGGCACAAAACCTGCCTGGTCGGGGTGTATCAATTCCGGCAATAAGGGTTTAATACGGTTAGCTATCAGTTTGGCTATCAGTTTAAGGTCTAGATTGATAAGGGAGATGGGTCTATAGCTGCCACAAGCTTCAGGGTTCTTCCCAGCTTTGGGAATAATGGTGATAGATGCACGTAGCATCGGGGCAGGGAGAGAGGTGCCCGGTTCCAGCCCGTTTAGCATCTTAAGAAAATGTGGTCCCAGGTCTTCCATCAGTGTCTGATAATATCTAGCGGTTAGGCCGTCTGGGCCGGGGCTCTTGCCTTTCGGCATTGTTTTAATCGCTGAAGAGAATTCCTTATGGGAGAAGGGCTCCTCGAGCACCTGCGCTGTTTCGGTCGGGACCCTGTGTAGTATATTGGCCCGCAAGTAGTCATGTAAGTCCAAAGGGGTGCCTTCGGGGGGTGTAAGGTTATAGAGATTGTGATAGAATTCGCTAAATGCGTCCGCTATGTCATCGGTGGTGTTGTTTTCCCCATTTTAAATAATTTAGCTGGGGTGGTGTACCATCTCAGGAGGGTTTTGTATGCCTGTTCCTGAAGTGTTACACACACGGACACCTTCGCTGCTGCTTCCCATATGTCCCTCCAGTCCTCCCCTTCCAGTGTCTGATGGAGATCCTGTTCCCATTGGGTGACATAATTAAGGGGTGCTGCGTCTCTCCCCGGGGCGCTAAGATGTGCATATAATGTGGTGATCAGGCCCTTATGGGTTGATTCGGTGATACACAGTTTCTCATAGCTAGTTAGTGGGGTCCTAGCTGCCTTTCGTATTCCAGGGCGTGTCGCGAAATTGCGTAGTTGGATGTATCTAAATAGGTCTTTTGTTTGCAGCGGTGCAGTTTGTTTCAGCTCCTCAAACGATTTAAATGTGTCCCCATCATATAAATGGTAGTACCTTTGTAGGCCTGTGTATTCCAACCCTTTAAAGTCTCGTGCCCGTAAGCCTGGAGGGAACGCTTTATTTCTCAGATATGGGGTGAGGGGTGAGGGGTGAGGGAGTGCTGGTCAGTGCGTATTTATGTGCGGTGGCATCCCAGACTCTGATGGAGTTAGTTATGGCTGGGCAGCTTGTGCGCAGGGCAGGTCTGTCTAATTTTGGAACCCAAATCCAATATTGAGGGAGATCCGATCCCATCATTAGGGACTCCAAGTCTGCCCATCTGCATGCCTCTGGGGGTGAGTGCCACTCTATTATTTTGGCTAATTGCGCTGATAGATAGTATAAGTGGAAGTTAGGCAGACCCAATCCCCCCAGTCCTTTAGGTCGGTAGAGCGTGTTTCGGGCTATTCTATGCCGGTTGTGCGCCCATATAAATTTGTCTATTGTGGTTTGTAGGAGCTGGAGATCCCCTTTTGTAACATTGATGGGCAGCGCCTGAAACAGGAACAGCATCCTCGGTAAGACATTCATTTTGATAGCATGGAGCCTACCAATCCATGAGATCGGCTTTTCATGCCATTTTTCCAGGTCTTTAATTAATGTTTTTATCATTGGTGTGTAATTTTCCTGAAATAGTCGTGTGATGTCTGTCGTTAATCGCACTCCCAGGTATATTATGTGCTGGTGGTTAAGTTTAATTTGTGTCGTTGTCCCTAGCAGCGCCACGTCCTCTGCCGTCAGCCCCAGCGGCATGGCCCCCGATTTTCCCAGATTTATTTTATAGCCCGACACTTGCGCAAATTCCCCCAATAGGTGGATCAGGTTCGGGAGGGAGCTTTTCACATCTGTGAGCGTTAGTAGTAAAGACCCATTTTTTATTCCTCCTGGTTCCCCTGGTTCGGCACTTTCCATTTGTGTGCATAGAGCCGAACCCTAGCTCCCTGGCAGCCGCATGGACCAAAACCGCTAATAGACTTCAGGGGGACTTAGCCGCGAATGCCCTGGAACTATTTTCGTCATGAAGACTTTGCGGTTCCCGGTCGGTCCCCAGCTGCACTTAGCCGTGATTCTATGGAACTATTTTGGGCATAGGACCATGCGTGCGGTCGGTCAAATTATGACTTCCAGGAAAATCCTGAACCCCTGCACCGATCTGGGTGATTTTTGGATATGTTGGTCAGGGGCTATCAGGAGATGTAACTTTTAGGGGTTTTATGTATTTTTCAGGTACTTTTGGGGTGTTTGGGAAATATGTGTTATTTGTGCCTGGATATAATTGAGTTTAATACAGTGTTTGACTCAATTATCTCCCAGGCACAGAGGAGGGATTATCTTGTTTTGCATGGGAGTGTCCTGGACCTGACACCCAATGTAATCGTGTGTATGTTTTTACTGTAGTCTACTCACAGGTCCATGGGGGAGTGCCCCTTGCATGGGGACCTGCATATAAGGTCAGTTGTGGCTACCAATAAAGGCATTCCAGTTTGTACTCTCAGAACTATGTGTCGTCTGGTTACTGGGAGGGGAAAGGGCTATTCTTTAATCACTTCAACGAGGAAAGTCCTTGTAAGGACTAGAGCTCTCAGGACTGAGTGTTTTTCCAGTGCCCGGGGTTGCTAGAGCAACTTCTTAATTTGGCTTCAGGAGAGAGTGGTTCCAGGGCCCCAGTCAAGCAACGGCGACTGTGGGCAGAAGTGCTGCAGTTTGTCCCCTGTTCCAGCTAGGAGGCGGTCCTTCGCGGAGGTACCCAGCCAGGGTACAGGGAGCTAAGTCGAGACTGATTTTATTGTCTGGAAAGTTTTCTCTCATTGAAGTTTTCCTTGTTCCAAATACAGATTGAAACCATTACACTAGATACAAACTTTGGAGTCTGAAACACTGTTCATTTTAAAGGGACACTATAGACAACCAGACCACTTATTCTCAATCAAGTGGTCTGGGTTCAGTGCCCCTGGCGTTTTAGCAGGGCTCAACACATCTCAAGTTGATGTTGCCCTCAGATGGCAATGAAGTGATGCCAGATGACATCACGGGGGAGGATTGGGGAGCAGCACAGAGTGAATCTCAATGCTGGAAAAAAAGGTAAGGGGAAAAAAAATCATGTCTCTTAACCATCCTGAATTCAGCAGGACAGTCCAGATTTTTCAGTGTCCTGTCCCACCGTAGTTCCCTGGTGTTCTGCTTTTTGGGACCAGGCAACTGTCCCCAACATTCATAGCACAAGCACATTAATAGACATGCTTGCGCTATAATTAGGGCATTAGGACCCTGCGGGGAGCACTGAAACTGAGCTCCCTATTGGGTCTGACCTCAGTGGGCTAAACTGCATGATGGACAGGCAGCTTGGCATGCATTCACACCAGGCTGACCTGCCACTAAAGGGACACTGTAGGCACACAGACCACTTTAGCTTATTGAAGTGGTCTTGGTGCAATGTTCCATGTCCCTTAACCCTACAGTGACAATTATTGCAGTGGGAAGGGGGTTAAGAGGGAGGCATGTTTTCCTGGCACTATAGAATCCCTTTAACTCGGGTGGACACGCAATCACGTCATTGTCCCATGTCTTCATGTCTAAAGAGTGAGGATACATTACAGCGTTACAAATACATAATTGTATTCCTAACACTATAGTGTTCCTTTAAGCAACTGGTTCATGAAAAGAAGCTTGTGGCCCATAGCCTGAAAAAAAAAAAAAGCAGGAAAATGGGTTATTTAGAGATAAGAACGCCACACAAACAATCTAAACTGTCTAAACAGTCATGGCCCAAAACTCAGCTGGGACATTAACAATATTGTTCCTTTTAAGGCTTGAGTACCAATGGCTTCTCCTTATGATGGAGCAGACTTGCCACATGAAGAGTTCATATGCTGTATTCTGTTGATAAATGTTAATATTTATAGTGTAGTCCTATAGAAACTTTCCTAATGTGTCATTTACTTGCACCCTCCAGTTTAATAATATGAGCCTTATCTTATTCATTTGTTAAATCACTTATTATTACTATTATAAATGCAGGTTTTTTTTAATGATGGGCATGTTTTTTTCCTTATAAACTGCATTTTAATCTATTGCCGTTGGATATTGGTAGCTTTTGGTGCACCACAAATCCCTTGATGTTTCATTATTATAAAATAGGAACACCAACAGGCTGTATGCCACTATGTTATTGCTTCCAATATTATGCATTGTTTTCGTATGTTGGATATATTAGACCCAGTTAATGAAAATATAATTGGGGGGGAAAAAAATTCAGATAAGGATTGTCAAGGACAATAGTACAATACTAACAGCTCGAACATATCTGCGTCATTATTCTGTCACTTGCTACAATGTGGAAGCCTAAACATGCATATCAGAACATAGGTCACAGCATAGACACAAGCGCACATACTCCACATCAGTTATCACTCACCATTGAGTAAGGAGCACAACCATCAATAATAATAAAACAATCTTTATTTAAGTGGGTATACTCTATAAGAATATCACATAACATAAAGATCCAAAATATAGGATCATGTCACGCTATACAGCAACGATCAGAAAAAAATTCTGAATATATTTGTATAAACGCCAAAAGCGTCTTATATGAATAACAGAGTCTCAATATACAAAAATAGAGAAATCTGGTCACTCTGTAGAACATGCCAGTTCTTATTGATGACGTGTTTGATTGACGACCAGATTTGGTCGAATATGTAATGACACATGGAATACGATTGGACTTGTTTCTCTGGTTCTTACCCTTAGTCCTCAGTAATGATGTCCTCTCCCGATTTTTTGCTTTGGCCAAAGCTTCCTGTAAGGAGGTATCGTTATAACCCCGGGAACGAAAATCTCCCAGCATCTTCCTAGCCTGAGTATCGAAGTTAGCTTCCTGGGATACAATCCGTCATACACGTAACAATTGGCTAAAAGGAAGGCTTCGAATCATACTGGCTGTTTGAAAGGAGTTAGCCAGGAGACTTTTTCTCCCCTTGCCCCTTTGTGTGTCTTTTTGTCCTCCCAGCCCCATTGTGTGTCTCTTTGTCCCCTCAGCCCCTCTGTGCAACTCTTTGCCCCCTTAGCTCCTCTGTGTGTCTCTGTCTCCACACAGCCCCTTTGTGTGTCTCTTTGTGCCCCAGTCCATCTGTGCACCTCTTTGTGACAACCAGCCCTTGGGTGTGCCTCTTTGTGTCCCCCCAAGCCTTCTTGTGCCTCTGTGCTCCCCTTTGTGTTTTTTCCCCACTCTCCACTCCTGTGCCTGCTGCTCACCTCTCGCCGAGTGGACCACAGTAGAGGATCTTCTGTTTTTTCTAGCCAGTTTGACAGGCAGTAGTTCTTTGCTCCCGGAAGATCTTCTCCTGTGGTCCGTGACTCAGCCATGCTAACCATGCAGTGACAGGCAAGAGGGAGAGCATTGTGCGCTCCCCTCTTGCCAGTCACCCGACCATTGTATCCCCTGGACGGTGGGCAATAAGCGGATGTCTAATTTGCCTGGTGATTAAAGCTGCTCCTTAAAGATTTTACACATTTTAAAAGCAAATAGGTCAAGTATGCACTGATGATGTTTGTATTCATTATATTCATCAACTTTATTTTTGTGTGTACTGAGCCTGGCTCTTTGCAAAATTTTGGAAAAACTGTGACATTGTTTGTTTTATGCCCAAGTACTTCACTGTTGTTCTTGCAAAAAAGTAATTAATGCACAATCGGTTCTGAACTGGATGCAATCCAATGAAAGGACAGACATTCAATGTCACCCCATAGAAGGACTCCATTTGATTAAAAACAAGACAAAATTGATTAACAAAATTCTCACATACCTGTGATTCAATATCCTTGATAAAAACCGGCATACATTCCGTATTCCATTAACTTTAGTCATGATTTCACAGTATGTGAATCATCTATTCATTGTAACAAAAATATTTCTATTTTTTAATATATATAATATTATTAGTTATTGCTATCAAACAGATAACCCAGAGCTAAGCACTGGATACCTGCAATCATTGGAGAAATATTTAATACCCCAAGCAATAAACTGCACTACCTTCTGAAGTTTGGGTTTATTATGAAATTA